TGCAGGTGCAAAAGGACCTAAGGGGGATCTGGGACCTACTGGGCCAAAAGGCGAACAAGGACTAAAAGGAGACATAGGAGAGAAGGGATCTCAAGGTAAGCATGTTTGTAAGAGTGTTGCCCCTACTGTTTTCCAGAGCTTATCAATGTAAACTTCCCCCATTAAGTCTTTTACTGAATTACAGTGGAAGAACTGCTTCAAAATCTACCACACACATGCTTGGATAGAGGGGCCAGGTCTCGGGTCACCAGCTGAAATCCCACTGAATGACTATGCTCCCCAAGCTTTCTAGAGATAGAGAGATAAATTTATGGGCAAGCAGCAGGGAAGGAGGAGAGTTCTGTGTGTCAGCTGGCTTTAAATCCTAGGCACCCATCTCTGTCCATTCGCAGCTCGCATCAGGGTTCACTGGCTCAGTGTGAAAGTATTTGTAGGTGTGTTGTGATAGCATCAGCACCCCAAAAGATCAAGAACAAGAGGAAGGGACTGAGGAGAGAACAGGCAAGTGCATGAATCTGGACCCTTTCTGCCATTTGGAGGAAGGCAGGGAGAGGAGGACCAGCATTGTAGTTCCGGAGGCTTCTTGTCCCACAGACCTTGACAGAAGTGACAGAAGGACCAGGGAAAGAATTCCTCTTGGGCTGGTGGTGAGACACATATCCAAGTAGCAGGAGACAGCCTGGGGGAAAACCCTGACTGTCATGTGTACTATAAGGATGCAAGCCCTAATATTAGGAATGGTGGCAACCGCAGTCATCAGGGTCAGAAGCTACTCCGTCCCTCCCCATTCCAAATCTTTTTTCTTTTTTAAAATATTTTTAATTCATTTATATATATGTATATGTATATGTACGTATATGTATATGTATATGTATATGTATATGTATATTGTGGAATCAAGGAGCCCCATCCTGAAACATACAGAGGTTAACCCCTGATCTTGGAGTTTTCACATTGAAATTGCAGGGCAAGATATGCTGCTGACCTAGCTACAGGTGTGGTGTGATACAACCAAGCTATTCCTTTCTGACTGGTTAGGTTTTACTTGGTTTTTAGAAATGCCACTTGGCAGTCATTTAGCCCACCATCTGCCCTAGCCTCCAAGTTCACTTTTTTAAAAAGTATATGTAAAAATAGTTCTTTCTTTGCCTAATAAAAACTCACTTATTTTACACACACACACACACAGACAGACACAGACACAGACACAGACACACACACACACACACACACACACACACACACACAGGTCCAATTCATATTAAAGGTGTTCTAGGAGTTGATGTAACCACCCTCCTAAACACCCTTGGGAACAACATTCCTGTACCCATTCCAGCAGAAGAATCAATACTACAAAAAAAACGATGACTTCCAAGTAGGGCAGCCCAATGAACAAACATCCCTGAAAACAACATTCTAGTGTCTACAAGGCAGCAATCCATGAAGAAGAAAAAACAACATTCTAGTGTCTTCTTATATGATGTGACACGTGAATATCACTGTTCCGGGCTATTTTGTGCAATAGAAATAATTTGAGGATGTGCAACTAGCTCTAAGCCTTTGGAGTACTAGCAAAGCTAAAGAACAGGTCCAGCAAACAATTCATTATTTTGGTGGTAGTAATTTCAGCAGGATCAGTAGGTTATTACCACAACTCCCATCCATATTTAGCATAACAGGACACACTTATTGTGTTTTGATTATTGTTGTTGTTGTTAAGATCCTGAAATCAAACCAGGCCCCACACAAAGGATAAAAATGACCAAACTCTGCTTGTGCAGGCTTACAATCTAAAACAAGTTTCAACTTGCTCAATAGGATTTCCAGGAGTTGCTGGTGTAAAGGGAGCTGTGGGTTTACAAGGACCAGTCGGGAATAAAGGACAGAAAGGAGAGATGGGAGAACAAGGTCCCAAAGGTGAGTGAACACAAGAAAGTAATATACTTTTGCCATGTGCATCCGGCATAGGTTACTGGTGGAGGTAACCCTTGCATAGAAACCCAGTTCCAAAAGTTATATTGAGAGTACACGATATATTTGCCTTAAGACCATCTCTAATCCAGACATTGCACCCACAAATTTATTAGTGCATTGCGTTGTGGTGATTGTTTAAAATTTGCTGTGTACCATTTCAAAATATTCGAAATGGGGGGGGGGCTTCTCAGTCTTTCACATAGTATTGGATTTTGTCAAATACCTTCCTTGACCCTTAAAAGGATACAAGTTGCTTGTTAGTAACTGGCAACAAATACTGTTAAATAGAAAGGTGTGTGGTTTTTTGTTGTTTTGGGGTTTGTTTGTTTTTTTAAAAAAACTCTTCTTCTTGAATTTATTTTCTATTTTGGTCATACCTTACCACAATAACCATCATAAGCAAGGATGCTATTTTGCAACCTTATCTATTGGGTTCCTTGTCTTTCAATCCCTGACTTTAATTGTACCATTCTTTCATGCAAACAGACTACAACAGTATGCTGGATTTCCAAATATGAAATCAAATATAGGTATATGATTCTGTTTTCAGTGTTCATTAACATCATATGAGCCTTTTAAAACTAACGAATACAGAAAATTCATGCAAGCACCACACAAGTTCGAAAAATGTTTGTGTTCTGTTACAGGTCTGCAGGGCTCCCAGGGGCCTCCTGGTACGCCAGGAATGAAAGGTATGTTATGATGAATAAGTGCAATTTGTTGTTGTTGTTGTTTAGTCATTTAGTCATGTCCGACTCTTCGTGACCCCATGGACCAGAGCACGCCAGGCGCTCCTGTCTTCCACTGCCTCCTGGAGTTTGTTCAAATTCATGTTGGTAGCTTCAGTGACACTGTCCAACCATCTCGTCCTCTGTCATCCCCTTCTCTTCTTGCCTTCACACTTTCACAACATCAGGGGTTTTTTCCAAGGAGTCTTCTCTTCTCATGAAATGGCCAAAGTATTGGAGCCTCAGATTCAGGATCTGTCCTTCCAGTGAGCACTCAGGGTTGATTTCCTTCAGAACGGATAGGTTTGATCTTCTTGCAGTCCAGGGGACTCTCAAGAGCCTCCTCCAGCACCAAAGTTCAAAAGCATCAATTCTTCGGCGGCCAGCCTTCTTTATGATCCAGCTCTCACTTCCATACATCACTACTGAAAAAACCATAGCTTTGACTATGTGGACCTTTGTCGGCAAGGTGATGTCTCTGCTTTTTAAGATGCTGTCTAGGTTTGTCATCACTCTCCTCCCAAGAAGCAGGCGTCTTTTAATTTCGTGGCTGCTGTCACCATCTGCAGTGATCAGGGAGCCCGGGAAAGTAAAATCTGTCACTGCCTCCGTATCTTCCCCTTCTATTTGCCAGGTGGTGATGGGACCAGTGGCCATGATCTTAGTTGGGTTTTTTTTATGTTGAGCTTCAGACTTAAGGTGCAACTAAAGGACCCAATTACCTCAACCTGGATCAGTCTCAATCATGCTAAAGAGGGTTGCTTTGAGGTACAGCATGTCATTTGGGAAGTGGTGGTGCTGTGGGTTAAACCACAGAACCCTCTATGCTGCAGGGTCAGAAGACCAGCAGATATAAGATCGAATCCACCCAACGGAGTGACCTCCCATTGCTTGTCCCAGCTCCTGCCAACCTAGCAGTTGAAAAGCATGCAAATGCAAGTAGATAAATAGGTACCACCATAGTGGAAAGGTAACGGTGTTCCATGTCTAGTCGTGCTGGCCACATGACCATAGAAACTATCTACGGACAAAATGCTGGTTCTACAGTTTGGAAACAGGGATGAGCACCGTGCCCTAGAGTTCAACTGGACTGGACTAAATGTCAAAGGGAACCTTTACCTTACTTATGTCATTCAGGGCAATCATACATGCTGGAACTAAACCAAAACAAAGTGATCCTACCCATGCGAAAACAAAACTAAGACAACAAAACAGTAGCCCCCTGATAGGGACCCAGAAAGGTGCAAGTAGGCAATGATAAGGGAAAGGCTGGTGTAGAAACATACATTGTGTGGTCACTGGGAAAAGGGGCAAACCAGCCTGTCCCCAGTCCAAATTGTGGGGTAAATGCCTGTATAGTTCACCCCTAGGCTAGTATCCAGCTTTAAGAGCAAACCAATTAAAATTAATGGCTTTAAGTTCATTATGACTAATCCAAGTCCCATTTTTTAAAAAAGATCTATTTCAAGTGTGGTTAAGTCTGGAAGCGAAGGTTGTGATCAGATGAAGAAATAGTTTGGATTAGGGATCATTTGTGACACAGTCTCATGCAAACTATTTTCTGGCCATCACACAATGCACAGGAGATTGTGAACCAGCCTGACCATGCTTCATGACCAAGGTGGACCTTTTCGGTCTGGTGACAAGGGTACTCTTTTTGGGAGTGATTCCTATAGGGACAGAAGAGCTGCTTTAAGGAAGATCACTCCCAGTGAAGCAACCGTTTCCAGTGCGATCAGCCACAATCCTTTCTTGCCTTCTGATTGCACCCTGTGTTGGACACAAGCCTCAGTCTCGAGTAAGCAGGCCTTTGATTACACAGATACTTGCTAGAGCCAATTCACTGACAAGTATCTAATTAGTAGGAAAGCACAACAAAGATTAATCAGCACTGAATGGGAAAAGCTGCCTTTTTGACTGGCCAGACTTGCTGCAGTACTCTGGTAGTTGTTGTCCAGAAACATAATTTTTCCCATGTCAGAAAAATGTAAAATCCTCTGTGTGTGGGGGGGGTGTTGTCTTTTAAAGAAAAAGTGAAGAACTACACATTTAACTGGCACAGAATTGAAGTTCCTAGAGTAGATTTGTGGACTGGCAGCTGGTAACTAGCCTGTTCCATACACTTACCTTTCTCTAGCGCAACAAACAAACAAATAAATAAATAAATAAACAAACAAACCCCTAGAGAAATTCAGCACTGATCACCTGCTACTGCCTGACTAAGAGATGCTTCTTCATCCCATTCATTCAAAGATTTTTCATTGCCCTTAGTCAATGGGTTAATTAAGTGGGCTTTTGCTTAACTATAAAAACCAATTCAGAATCTCTCTGGCCTTCTCTGTACTCACAGCTGCAATGCTGCTTTATTGCTTTGAGATCTGTCTCTCTTTTCTCTTTATATATATAGGGGTGAACTATACAGGCATTTACCCCACAATTTGGACTGGGGACAGGCTGGTTTGCCCCTTTTCCCAGTGACCACACTACATATATATATACACTTCTATATATAGAATTCTATATAAGAGTTCTATATATACACTTTGATCATGCTGGTTTTCGGATTCTGGGAGTGGGAGTTTCTTAAAAGTAACTTTTCCAGTCTCCTCTGTGTAAATTGGTTGTGTCATCCCACAGAATCAAAACAATAATGCCTTTGTACCTCTGTCGCTCACTAGGTATTAAGGGGCAGGATGGACTGCCTGGACTTCCTGGAGCAAAAGGTGAACGAGGGCAAAAAGGAGAAGCAAGTAACCTTCGAGGTACCGAAACAGTCGTGTTTCTTAGATTCCTGAAAATACTAATTGCAAAGATGTTCTTACATTGTTCTGCTTCCTTTGTTCTCCAGGACCACCAGGGCAGAAAGGAGACCAAGGGGAAAAGGGAAGCAAAGGAGACCAAGGTAAAGGTAGAGACGGGGCATAACATGGAAATTGTTTGCCCAACACCTCATTGAGTGCATGGGGCCTTTTAGAAAAGAGAGAGAGAGAGAGAGAGAGAGAGAGATGTGAATTATGTATGCTCCACTTAATTTAAGCTTTATTCTTATAGTTCCAGTTCTATTATGGAGTGACACAGTGTCTTCCATCAGAGCTGTGTCAATGAAATACACAACATTTACTTCTGATTTTTATAATGTTTGTATGTAAAAAAAGCTCTCTGCATCATGCATTTCTGTAGTATTTGGCTGAATTTTGCATTTTTATATGAATGGATTTATTTTAAAACATTTCAGTATATTTAATGGGATGTAGGATATCAAGAGGTGGGAAAAGGAGATTGTAACAGTTTTTGGAGGTACCCTTATTTTAATATGTTAACCCCCTGCCATTATCTCAGGTGCGCCAGGACTTAAAGGGGCAAAGGGAGATGTGGAACCCAAAGGTCCAGCTGCTTCCTGGAGGTCTTTCAAAAGACTGAAACGTGTGTGTTATTTGGGATAGTTTACAGTGAGATGACATAGATAGAATACAAGGGCACAATATGGCCCATGCTGCAGATCAAAATTTCAGGAGCAGACGGGAGTGGAGAGAGGAGAAAATTGTTCCAGGTTTTTAAAAATGAAAATAGAAGTTTGTCTTTTAAGGTCTAAATAAATAATAGCCTCTTTGCCTGGCAGAACTGTAGGCACCTGATGAGCCTCCCAGGAAAGAGCATCTGAACGATGGAGAGCCTCTACCAGAGAGTTTCTCTGCTGTCCTGCTGCCCACCTGCCCCCAGATATTGGTGGGGCAGCCAGAGGAAAGAGAGATAATAGTTTTTACTAAAGGGATTGCAATAGAAGGTGACCAGCTTTCAGGGATGATATGGTTGCATTCCTGTACTGAGGTTGGGGCCAGATTGCATGGCTTCCAGACTCCTTTCTAGTGCTATAATGCTGTGATCTCAGCAGAGGGATAGGGCTTTCACCTAAAGCAGAAGCAGTCTCAAAATATGTGGCACAGGAACATTTTTGTCTGAGCTTGGGAAAAGAGTTGAAATCCAAAATAGTAACTTTCCCATGTGGTTGCTTTAATAATTATTAGAAGTATGGTAGTTAAGATTAGGGTTTAGAATGATCTCTGTAATTCTGAAGAATCTGCTGAAGACATCAAAATGGAATTAGCTTGTCATGGAGAAATGCTATTGCTGATCCAGCCTAGTTATATTAGTCTTTCTTTCTTTCTTTCTTTCTTTCTTTCTTTCTTTCTTTCTTTCTTTCTTTCTTTCTTTCTTTCTTTCTTTCTTTCTCTATTTCTCTATTTCTCTCTTTCTCTCTTTCTCTCTTTCTTCTCTCTTTCTCTCTTTCTCTCTTTCTCTCTTTCTCTCTTTCTCTCTTTCTCTTTCTTTCTTTCTTTCTTTCTTTCTTTCTTTCTTTCTTTCTTTCTTTCTTTCTTTCTTTCTTTCTTTCTTTCTTTCTCAGAGTAATCAATATGTACTAATTTTACGGGAAACTGTAACTACCTATAGCTACAGACAACTGGCAGTAATGCAGATTTTCATCCAAATATATTTAATCTTAAAATATCAGAAGCAAGGGACTTCTTGGTGGTTATACGTACTGTTCCTCACAATTTAGGGCAGATCAATTACAGGAGACAGAAGAAGATGGCTTTGACAGAAGTTGCTGTCTCAAGCCAATTCCATCATAGGAACAAATGTGGAAGGTCCTCATACCTGTTCTGGGACCGACAAAGATCACTCTCTTTTAATCAGCCAAGTGCTTGTAGGCTTCCTTAGCTCTGTTCTTGCAAAAGTGGAAGCACAGACCCAAATGTGGAAGGTCCTCATACCTGTTCTGTGACTGACAAAGATCAGTCAAGTGCTTGTAGGCTTCCTTAGCTCTGCTCTTGCAAAAGTGGAAGCACAGACTGCCATCCTTGATGGACATGATTTGTATCTGAAACGAGTAGCAGTGTGCAGACTACAGGAAAGGACAGAAATTGTACCCATCATTAGCAAAGAAGGGTGTATGGTGGGTGGACGAGTGCTGTGGACTGCAGTATGCAAGGTCAGCTAGGGATAGACATTGCCACCCAGTTGCATGGTGGGCAGTTCACTTAGGATCAGAAGAAATCTTCTAGTGTAGTGCTGGTCCTTGCATTCTGCCCATATGACTGTGAATGATAGGCAGTGTAGAGGTGGAATTTCATATCAAGGAACTGGAGGAGGGTTTGCCAAAATGCTGGAGTAAACTGGGGGGGCCCTCTATGAAGTAGAATACTTCTGGGCAAACAGTGGGATAGATGGGTGGCGTCCTTTGCTGAAGGAACAAGGGATGAAATGGATCATTTTTTAAAAAAAGGAATCCACCACTACAAGAATGGTGCTTTTCCTTTCTCAGGGCAACATGTCTTGGATGAAGCCCAACAAAAGGGATTTTCCCAATCCCACTGGGATTTGAAAGAAAAGCATTAAGGCAGCAAGTTTACTGAGTCGGTCTTTTGCTCAGTGACAGGTACCACAGGCAATAACCATAGTGTTTGACATCTCAAAGAGGCTGGGCCTATCCGGAATTCTCAGGGACTTATATGGAAGGTCTAGTAGAAGACAAACTATCCAGCAGGCAGGAGTACTACGTTCAACCTGCAGACAGGGGCACCACCTGCATAAACCAGCTGGACTGTGAGCACAGTCCTCAGTAGTGGAGAAGTCCTTCTTTGGTTGTGAATGGGGAATGGTCGGTAGCTCTGGAGAGCTGCTCTTCTTGTAACGAAGCCTGTGCAAAAGGATCTGGCCCTTGCTGCTACTGGATGCTCAGTCAAAGGCAATGGTGTCTCTTAGCTGCAATTTGTTCTCACCACAACACCAGAAATACTGGTTGCTCCAGCTCTAGTAGAGGTCCTTCCCTGTCACAGTTTGCCAGACACACTCGTAAGCACCCTGAGTCCTCCTAGATGGTGTGCAACTGTTTCACTCCCTACTACTCACTCCCCACCCCAGTTAAGTAGGAATAAAGTGAACTGCAATGTGAAATAGATGATTCTTTTAATGATTGGATTTGTGAGCAAGTCTATGAGAAATCCCACCCAGGCCTTGTCATCAGCACAACTGGAGGATTAGAAACAAATTCCCCATAATTAGCTAGCCATCATCCCCTGATGGGGCCAGTGGGAGGGGGCATGTGTTAACTGCTAGGTTCCTTCTATTATTTCCATGATTTCACACAAAAAATATGTTGGCAGCGTGTGTGTGAATTGAATCAATTTTTATTTACACATTGACCCAAAAGTTCATGGCTTTGTCTTTTGATGTACATGCTATTTGTTTTGGTTTTTTAGTCATCTCAACAATCCATTCCTCTATACGACTTGTTGGAGGAAGCAAAAGAGGCCGAGTTGAGATTCTGCATGATGGATCCTGGGGCACCATATGTGATGATGACTGGGACATAAAAGATGGAAGAGTGATCTGCAGAATGCTGGGATTTCGCGATGTGGTTAGTACATTCACCGCAAATGCAGGTAATTTACAAATGAATTTCCTGGGTAATTTAATCAAGGCAGAAAAGGAGACACTCAGTTTGGAGAAGAAGAGCAAGGATCGGGGTTTTTTGGGGGGGGAGTTGTTTTGGTGTTTTTGTTTTTGTTTTTTGGAACACAAGTTGTTGGAAGATTTGGACCTTGGCGTTGCTGCTGCTGTTTTCAAGTACATTTTTAGTGCATTTCCAAGAATCCCACAGCCTGCATGGCCAGAGGCTTGGGGGTTCTATCCACTGCAGTCCAAAAATCAAATGTCCTTGGTTTTTTAATGTAATTATCGAAGGAAAAAAAAACACAACAGCAAAGTGGCAGGCTTTGTTCCTTGTCATCCAAATAAATTAGTAGAGAGGCCAGCAGTTTTTGCTTGCCCAGAAACAGGAGGGGGCCTATGGGGTATTATATCCAAATGTTTGACACACAACCACACACAAACACACACACCTAAGAACCTTTCTGAGTATTGGAAAACACTCTTGAGGTATCTGTTGCCTTAACTAGCCCTCACCCCTGTTTGGATGGGAGAACCTGCTATCATAGGCCGTGAGGGCATCTTCCGTGAAGATGGTAGAGGGAAGCTGGGCTTCTCTTCCTTCTCTGGCAGTGTTAAAGTGAAAACTTTGCCACCAGCGGCACACTGGCAGCACCCTTGTCCACTGGGGATCATGGTGACTGTAGTACAATAATCCTTGAAGGGAAAAAAAATTAAAGGTTTATCTTCCTCTTTTATATTGGAGCTGAGAACCTCTGCAGACCAGTATATAGATTGCTGTTGGTATGGTTTGGTTTGAATCAAATGACCACGTCCACAAATATTTCTACTTACATAGATCTATTCTTTCTGCCCATTCATGAGTTGCCCTGCACCTTCATGACAAAGTGCTAGGGGTTTCTCCTCCTCCTCCTCGTCCTCCTCCTATTTTTTTTAAAAATTAAACAGGCTTCAATTTATCCCACACTAGCCTGTGCAGAAGGCAAGTTTGTACCCAAATGGAGCTGTGGGCAGTGTTAACTGAAGAAACAACCCTGTGAGGCATTAGGTGGGTTGTGACACTAAAAGGGAGGAATGACACTATCTTCCTTTTAAAATATCCCCCTAACCGACACAGCACAATTCTAATACCATGACAGGTTGGTTGATGCAGTACCATTTGAATATGCCATTCATTTTATTTAACCAACAACAAAAAGGGAAAGTCACCCCAGTCCCTTGAATGATGGCGGTGAGAAAAAGCAAGGAAGGGGGGCTATGTCCACTCCATGGGCTCTGCCCCCAAAAGAAAGCGAGCCTCAGGAAAGTCCTGACTGCGGAGACAGGTGGGAGTTGCTGCCTTCCATCTCTCCTATCTTCTCCCCTCACTCTGTAGCTATTGCCTCCTTACACATGAGTAAACCAGGTAAACCAGAGAGCTAAAGACGTGTGTGGCCCTTCCCTCCAGGGAATAGAAGTGTTCTGTGTGAACAGAAGTATTGCTAAAGTGAAAAATAAAATACTGTAGATCACAGTGAAAATAAGAACCTTTACAGTGCAAACCTTACCACTCCAAACTCCCCCATCGGGACAGGCCCTAAAGGTGTCCCAATGAAACTGAAAGATGGAGATTGAAGAGAGACAAAAGAAAGTGTTGTTGCTGTTTCTTTTCCAAACAACAGATAGTTGAACTGTGGTACTCACTACCACTACTCCTCACGCGAGCCAGGAGGTGAGGCTGAGGAACCTAACGCCGAGGGAGGCCCGGAAGGAGAAGACAAGAAATCGGGCCTTCTTGGCAGTGGCTCCTCGCCTCTGGAATAACCTCCCTCCTAATATTCGCGCGGCTCCCTCGCTGGGCATTTTTAAAAAACAACTAAAAACATTGATGTATC